CTGTGTCTTCATGCGGGAGCAATGAGAGGAGCAGGCAGGAATTATCCATCACCTCCAGCAGAAACGATGGATCCTTATTCCCTTTTAACCCTCAGGCCTGTCGATAAAAAGGCTTCTTGTAAAATTCCCCCTGAAAGTAAATTCCCTTCTAAGAGCCTCACTATAGTTATCAATATTTAAATTGTTATTGGCTTATTATTTATTTATGTACAGAATAATTTATGGCAAGGAAATGAATCTGTATCATCATTTATTGACTAGACATGGATTTACATTGTCTTGCAAGTGCTTATTACCATTTAATCTCTCCAAAAATGGTCTCGTTGCAACCACAAACTGAATTGTATTTGGAATTTAAAAGTAGTACATGTAGTACAACTGTAATTAATTTTCAATTAACATTTTTTTAATGGATAACAATCTGAAAAGTGTGGTATGCTGGGACAATTATAATTGAAAGTCTTTGAAATGATGTCTTTTGCAGTTTTGCACACCTGGGACTGACATTTTTGTGCATATTTGCAAAACTGCTTGCAATCCGCAAACATTATTGTCTTTGATACTCTATCAGATGTAGATCTGAACTTTAACTGGACCATTTAAACATTTGGTTCAAAACCAGGGGATTTCAACTTCAGATTCCTTTGAGGGCCATTTTCCCTCAGCTTTTGCATGTGTCTCTGCTTCAACATGGTGTTCTTGCTGAAAACAAGTATATCCCAAATATGATGCTGCTCCCACCATGTTTCACAAAGGGGCATTTTGCATGAGGAATAAAAAGTCACATTTCAGTCTCACATGAATATCTCCCTCTGCATGACTAAGGCTTTAAGGTGTTTTTTCAAGGCCATGTGCAAACCACAATACTCACAGAAAGACTCCGATTTGCAAATAAAAATTGCAGCTTATATTATTGAAGTTTTGAAACTTTGATAAATTTCAAAACTTAAGTTTGAATAAGTCTTGAAACTTACTGAAACAGATTGAAAATATTGCAATTTTGAAACTTGAACCAACTTATTAGCTTTTTCAAATTTTGGTCGTTACATCTTACGAATATGATTACGTTTCATTGATAAGCCACATCCAGTGGGGAACTCTGGTGGCATTCAGCCAACAACACTCCCAAAAAAAAAGCTGGTTTGTTTTCACAACTTATTTATAGCCCCAAACAAAGCAGCAGCAGCATATTTGCATAATGACAACATCGGCGTCCATTGTTTTCCCTCTAAGTGCTCGAACCAGCTGCTACAAGACAGCTGATGAGTGTTACTGCATCAGGATACGCCGCTGACATTTTTCTGTTGCATGTCACAGCTACTATATCAGGACTACTTGAGAGTGTGTTGTGTGACCAGTGAGTGTAATATTAGGCAGATGACACAACACTAAACAATGGGTGTGTCGTGTGTTCCTCTCAAATAAATTAAGCACCACAGTGACTTACAGGAAAATCACGCAGGCCTGCTTAAGCTTTTCATCATTTCACCAGATTACGATTGCAAAATTCTACGTGCTTGATTTGGCTTTTATATGGTAGATAAACACACAGCAGTGAACATTTGAGAAGGGTAACAAAACTCACTATTTGGGGGAAAAAAAATACAAATAAAAATATGAAAAGAGTGGCATGTGTTTGAATTCACATATCATGCTGCCACTAGCACCATTTTCAAAGTTTCTCATTCTTATTAGTTAAATAAATGACTTTTCTTACACTAGCTTTTATTGAGGGGTATCACTTCCAGGAGACAAAATGATAATGCACAACACACTTGTAAAAATTGGCAAAATGTTAAAGTTTCTTTCCTTTTCACATTATGGACTTTTCTTTTGAAAAAAGAAATCAGCAGTAATTTTGTGATTGCAACAGAAATACAATAGCTGTTATGCTTAGAATTACTAGCTGAGTCGTAATTACTTAAAGATGAATTATCTAAAGAATTTTACTTTACACATTATTAATATCCAAAGTGATACTGATAAAACATCTGTGATGAAGATGTGTCGCAGATTTTCTCAAAAGGACTTTCAAACACATTGGTTTTCATCAATTAGGCTGCAAATCATCACGGCATTATGTCTGAATAAGTAACCTTGATGGTTTTCACTTGCAATTCATGCCACTAACAAGGGCAAATTTATTAACATTCATGCATCCTTTACAATGTAGAAAGAAGTTACACTAAGTGATAAAGTATGTGTAATATTGCATTCACTTTAGGGGGAATTGAAGAGGCTAGACATGGCTTTTTAATACATGATTTAAAAGATGTTGCAGCCAGCTGTAAATATGATTTCATGACAGAAACGTTGTGTGTACAAACAAGAGTACTCCTGCTTGGTTTTGTTTTTACAGCACAGCAAAGAAAAGTCCTGATTGCTTGCCACAGCATTTTGAGCATCTTCAGCTGAAAGACAACAGAGAGACTCCCAGGTGTAGAGGAATTTTTTTTTCTCAAGCTGATAACATGAGAACTCATTACAGCAGGTAGAGTGAAACTTCAGTGTTCAGAAGATATATATATAACAAAAATATATATATTTAGCCTCTATGTATCATGCTATATGTCTGCACAAAACAACATTTTTATCTATATGCTCGGCAAGTGAAAATGACAATAAAACTTGTCAATCTTAAAATGTTTACAACAAATATATATTTGTGCATAATTCAGCTTCTGGTTTAAAAACGCTAAAACTTTAAATTATATTGTTCCTATGGTTCACTGTCCTACGATAAAGAACTTAAGTAGTTTTCTTAAGCAACATAAAGCTGCCCGTCCCCCACATGTTGCTGAGCAGCTGGCTGAAAGAAGGCTAATACACATACATTTCCCACGCTGCAAAGAATAACTACAAATTTGTCTGCCAAACAAAATGCAAAAACTGTTGTGAAAACTAACGCAGCAATACTTATTAGCCTTAATAAATAAACTGTTTTAAAAGTACTAAATAATTTCCGTTTAATGTCAGTGAGATATACCAGTTTGACTGTATAAGGCGTAGAATGCCAAGAAGAGTTTTTAGAAAAAGCACAGGTACTTTTGAAACTATATTTATGTATTTATATAAAATGTCTGTGCCCACAGTCTATGTATCAACATACAGTATGTATTATATACGTTATCAAGGGTGGGGAAAATGTAGCTTTTTACATTTTTTAAAAATTGTTTTGCAAATATGATGGAAGCATAATATTTTTTCTAAAAGTTATGTCACAATCTCAGTTTAAGTATGAATTTAACGCACAGGAATATGAAATAGAAGCATCCATGATACCTGAGTTTACAGGTTTCATGGTGCCTGTAAACCAGTTAATTAGAAAAATCTAATTATTTCTGGAATGAAATGTGGAAGAAACCCTTACAATTCACTATTCCTTGACCTTTTTAATCCTTGAAAGAAACTGTCAATCCGTTGATCAACAGCACACAATAGCATAGATGTATTTCATATTTACCTTCAGCGGCTTCGAAGAATGCTTTATGAAAGGGAAAAAAGGTCAAGGGGAATATTTTTAGGAGATTTGCATAGCAAACTGCAAATTTATCATCATCAAAATATGAGCATCCCCAACATTAATATAGCAAAGAACTGCTTGGAGTGAAAGAATTAATAGCCAATTAAATAAATGCCATGCATGACATTTGCCAACAATGTAACAGGCTTTTCTGATATGGTGTCCCATGCACCAAGAAAACATGCATTCATCAAGCTTTTACTGGCTGATTCCCTATGTGTTCCAGTTTTGTTTCCAGAAAACAAAACAAAAAAGATCAACATTTACCACAGAACTGCACTACAGGCTGTTTAACTGAAGTAGCAGTTTACTCCCATTTAGGCATAAAAACCTTTTTTTGCTTTCTATTTTCTGATTTAGACTAAACTGAGAAAAAGTAAATAAAAAAATATGCATTTTAGATCAGTTTGATTGCTTGATGCATTACTATGCAATAACATTGACAGATACTAGATGTAAAATAAACACTGAAATTTAAATGTGTATTCTAATAATCTTAATCTGAAAATTCTGGACCCATCAGAAGACGCGGTTCTGAATCACTTGCATTTCTCTTGTAACTGTACCCTTCTGTGGGCCCCAGTGATGATTGATTTGTTACCTACAGGCCAGCTCTCTCCATGCTCTGCTAAAATGAACTGAACCACAAGGGCAATGAGGAGAGACACCCTGTGGCTCCAAACAAAGGCAAAGGCTCGCAGTTGTCATCTGAAACTACCACGGCTTTTCTCACTGCACTCATAGTTAGCATTCAATGTAAGATCTTAATTTCATTAATATTAAATGTAATTCTTGCTTCTCTCTTGTCAATATTTCCATTTTAAAGGGGTGTTTATTAAGCTTCACACTGATTCTATGAACTTAAAACCCTGAGAAATACAAATAAAAATCTTTGGTTTCTTCTTCTAGTGTTTGGTAAACACAACTTCCAGGAAGAGTAGGATTCCTTATTGATTTTGGTGGCTCATTAAGCTTGTTGGTTTATAAGTATATAAGTTAACTTAATATTGCCACTGTTCTGGTCCGGAACAAATTCTGTATTAAGAGGGAATGGATTGATTTTAGTGAACAAGCTCTGTCCACTTCTTCCAAAGGTCACTCTGCAAGCATTTGGCACAGGAAAGAGAGGAAAAGAGGGCAGGATGTTAGAGTTGAAGCATTAAAAATTGCAGTGGACCAGCCTGGAGTGTATTCAAGGCAAAGTTAGAAGTACTTCACAAATCAATGGCTGTTCTCTGCAACCCCCACACTTCTTTTATGCTCTGAAATGACAGAATGTAGAGCAAGCATTCTTGTCTTTTTTTTTAAACATCTGGCGTCAATATCAGAGCTTCACTTCAAAGACATTACTGATAACACTCTGGCCTCTCCAGTCATCTATTTAAAGCTCTGCTCTCTGCAGTTTGGAGATACAGGGTTTAAGTGAAGGGTAAATATGTCCAAAAGGAGCCAATGCGGACAAAAAGCAGAAACCTACCAACAGTTGCAACGGTGTCGTCCTTGCCCTGGGTGAAGACCACCAATCGCTGCCTCTTTGCGTTCTCCTTGGGGAGGTTTTGGGTCTTGTGCGCGATCACTGCAATGTCATCCGTCTGTGAAAACACCATAGAAACCCGGGAGGGGTGAACATGTTAAGTTGAGTGAAAGCATCATGAAGAGCATTTCGGAGTAGTCAATCAAAGATCACAAGTGTTACTGAGAGCAGGTCAGATTTTTTTTTTTTCCTATCCAGCCAGACGGATCAAGTGATAATAAAACTAGATGAGCTGGTGTGAAACGGATCAATAGGAGCATGCTCGATGATGCTTCCATTGAAGTTGCTAGAGGGCCTGGAAAATATTACAATGTCATATTCCCTAAGTGAAATGAAAATGAGAGTGTGAAGATACGCTTTTTTTTTTGTCAGATAACGCCGCAGTCTGTGAGCAGCAGGGGATAGGCGGTGCATGTACTGTATCGTTCTCCTCCTGAAACAGGCCATCTCTCCTCAGCATCTGCACGGAATGGATATTCTCGCCTGGAGACGACAGAGCTCTCCGGAGTGCTTGCCTTTGATCATGAGAGGGATAAAAAAAAAACCCACACCTGTCAGTGCCGCTTTATTATTAACTCATCATGATGTACTATGAGCAGGTAGAACGTCTTTATCGCAATCTTCCAACGAAGTGGACGGCTTTTTCTGTACATCGAGGAGCTGAAATTACAGTTGCCTCGGACATCTGTGTCAAAGCTAGCACTAAAGCAACTTTAGGTTGAGCAAATACCGTGATTATGGAAGCAATCAGAGAGATAGACTCTGACCCGCATCAGCCACTCTGCCTCACTCAAACCAATGAGCTTTTACACCTCTAAATGCTTCCCAAACGTCCTTTAATCAGCCCTAAGAGGTCCAGGGAGACCCAGGGCTGAGGGAAAAATGGGTGTAACACTCTAAGTAAGTGCTAATAGTGAGGTTAATACAGAGGCTGTTAGCAGGCGATGGTGAAAAAAGAGCAATTTGTCACTGTGACTACACGTAACCACAAGCACTGAATGCAAAACCACACCGGCTCCAGCACATTGCCGCCCTCAGGTTTTATGTTCGCTGACATAAAATAGACATACCTCCACTTGGGTTCAGGAGCTGAGAGGTTCTAAGAACATGAGGTGGAGGTGTACCCATCAGGGCAAACATCATGACAAAAGGTAAGCAAAGCCACAGTCACATATCAGAAACACTCACCTGGGTTATTCTCTGAATTCAGTTCATCTTGTAACTCACAGGTTTATCTCAAAGGCAATAAACGTCATATAATGCAAAACACATTTGAGAAAATTAAGAAATGGAAATATCCAGATGGCTTGGTAATGTAACATGCAAATATATTTTTAAAAATTATATTTTGAAAAATTTGATGGGTTGTTGGAGCGTAGAGGTCAGCCAAATCAGAATGTCCCCACTGCCCGAAGTTCATTTTTCAATGAATATAAAACAAATTAAAATAGCCAGTAACTGCAAGTTATTTCTACTAACATAAACATTTTTAGGTATACTTTAACCTAAATAAAAGAAATATGAGAAAATACATTAATTATTTATAAAATAGCACTTTTAAATCATGTCCCTCCAGTTCTGTTCAGCCCCATAACAACATACCAATCCCTCCTATTTATAAATAATAGTTCAGTCCAATTTGCTCAGCACCCTGGAAGTGACATCATGTAAGTCTTTTCCTGCTCACACTAAAAAGAGATTTAAGTGTTAGGAAAGTTTCCCGCCTATATTCGATTATTTTTATCCATAAATCGTCATCGTCAAGCTCAACCTTTCAACACCGTTACGCACGTAAAAGATATTTACTGTTGTTTGGGGAAAAGTAAAGAATTGTCTTTGAAAATTATATTAATTAGTTATTTTAGTCAAGGGACTGGTGATCTCAAAGGAACTGGAAGAATTTGATTAATTATGTTAGGGACTTGTACTCATAGAGGAATAAAATTGTCCCGTTACGAGGTTGACTTTAAAGCAACCTCAGTAACAAAGAAATTCGTAATACTGTTTGGGATTTCACGCATAGAGTGGAAAAAACATATTTTCTTGGCGGTTCAAAGAGTACTTCAATTGATGCTGTGCTTTTTTGTAGTATATTTTTAAGTAACCTGAGACCCCAAAATGTACCGAATTCAGAGAATCACCCACCTGACAACTTCTTATCGAGAGAAAATGTCGTTGAGGGGAGAGTGGAAAAAAAACAGCACGCTAGAAGTGGATTGACAAACGATACGGTCAATTTGGTTCACGGCTGACAAATGGCAATATTTACGATCGCAGGGCGACTGATCAGACATAAATCAACAAAGCGTGAAATATGAAAGCTTTACAAGGGTGTTAAATTGCGTTGCCACGTCGAAGCCACCGAGAAACTGATAATCTCCACCGCGGGCTGCTTGGAGGGGAAAAAAAATGCTGCAGGGGAGAGATTCAATTAGAGCTGTGATGCAGAGAGTTCTTTTGAGCATTTAAAGGAAACAGATCACAATCAGGAGACCGCGTTCAGATCTGCTGATTGCTGCGTCTAGGAGGACAAGCTCTTTATCTTGTATTTATACTGAAGAAGAGTGGCTGTCATTTGTGCTAGTCATCCATAATGTGATGATAACAGTGTTTCAGAATACATTAGGAGCACATCACGCTGTGTCTTGAGGGTTAGATCCTAGCAATATTTAATTAAAGTTTCACTAAAAAGGCCTAATTAGTGAATTAACAAGACTTCTGATGGACTGAGATCAACCTCACTGTCATTATAGGACCCAAAGTGCTTAAAGAAATCTACTTCAGTAAATTAGCTTGTTAAACGTGACAATACTAGAAATAAAGCAGTGGCCTCTATGTGCTGTTTAACATTTTGTACTGAAAGGACAGAAAAATGCTCCGGTTTAAAATGGTATGACAAAAAATATGTGCTCGCATTTTAAACCACCCCAATATTTCTTGTTAGAGTGAAGCTCTATCCGTTTGCTCTCGGCATGTGATTAGCATCCGGAAAAGCCTACGCTGTTATTATAAGCCTTTGAAATATTTTGTCTTGCAATTCTTTGGGAACTCTGTAGAAAGAAAAAAACAATGACAGATAACATTCTATCGGTGCTAAGCTAATGAGCTGTTTCACAGTTTTTTAATCAGTTCTTTTTAAAACATAAGGCTACAATTTAAGCTTGTGTTAGCATTAGAACCTAATGAAAACATTTATACGTTTCAGGCTACCGGGATCTTTCAAAAGAGCATGTGCGTTTGATGACATGCCTAAGTCATAGCGCCATATAGTGGCCTGGCATGACAATTACAGCAGATTCTAGATGTCTCGTTGATGCTATCTTAGCGTCCGAAAATCCCGGCAGTTTCCAGTCAGTGGTCTCGTGCACACATGAACTTGACTTGAGAATGAAATCTGGAAATATACATTTTCCCATGAACTATATTCCTTACTCATCCAGATCTGGAAAACACTTACAGAGTTAAATTACATACTTTTTCCAGTCTTCCCTGCCGACATACTGACCCTACAAACCTCCTCCGTACTGTTATATATATAAGCAACAGTGTTTTCAAAAGTTGTTACTGGGAACATTGAAGAAGTAGCCTGTCAAAGGAAAGTACAACTCTCATCAGAAAGTGACAAAAATAAATAAATAAAAAACACTTCACTACTGTGAAGAAAACATCTTTCAGCTACAACCATCCAGAAATGCAGTGGGTACAGTACACACCACTGCTGTTATATGGAAAAAAAAATCACATTCATCCAATGCAATTTCACAGAGTGTTCTGCCAAATCAAGTTGACACAGAAAATGTCAAAGAACTGTAACTACTCGCCAAGTCTTGACTTTGCCCTTTGTGCTGTTTTTTTTTTTTTGAACATGAGGCCCCTCCATTATTACCTCCTCCTCCTCCTCCTGCCTTCATCCCATCTCCTCTCTTAAACCTGTCACTGCCATCAGGATTGCATTTCTATTCTAGTCACGTTGATCACACCGTTAGTGATTCTGGATGACAATTATTCACACAGAGCAGAGCCATATTCAAGGCGGATCTCTCTCTGAAAGATAGCACTTAAAATACCTGAAAAACACAGATCTCGGCTATTTGTGTGGTTTTTTTTCCCGCATTTAAATAGAGATGTGGATAATGTGGAGGGGAAAAAAAAACAAAACAAACAAAAAAAAAAAAACAAGTGAAGAAGAGACTCGGGGAATATTCATTTTACACTTAAGAGGCAGCCCAAACAAGCGCTGCAATTTTCATCTCTGTAATCTAAAACAAGTGGCTTTAATCTGGGTGTTAAAGAAGAGTATTTCCGTACGGTGTCATGGTATGGTATTGAGTAGAAACCATACAGTAACATCCCTGAGTGTGACGAGGATAATGAGGAGGCTTTTTAACCTGGCAACCTGATGAGCTTCGAGCCTGCGGAGAAAGGCTTGAAACCGTGCCCAACTTCTCCGCTTCCCAAGAGGCTTTTCAAAATTCAATAAATAACATCTGTAGGCGATGTTGGGTGCAGACCGAGCGAGTGCGTCATAACAGAGAGCGGGGCTGAACAAAGAAACCATGACGACTGCCTGGTTACCATAGCAACTGCTGCAAGGCCTGGAGAGTATAATAGCACATCAATCACTGTCCAAAAGGAACTTCATTATCAGCAAAAAAAATAAACCTTTAGGATCTTTTTTTACTGTTAAATTGCCGGTCAACTCACCTCAAAGCCCAGCTCTTTGGCAAACGTGGCCGCTTCCTGGAAGAGATAAAACACACGCACAAACACACAGAGACACACAAATGAACAGTTAATTACAGAGTCACAAAACAGAGCACAATGTCCAACCACAGACGTGAAGTGAAGACATCTCGTTTCCCCTCGGCTCCTCACATGTCACATGAGAATAAGTAACCTGAGCGAGCATCACTCTGCCAGCTCCTGATTTAATAGGCAGGCAGCCCACCCCATTTAAACTATTATCAGACATCATCTCATCTTACCGCAGCAGCATGAGATAACACTACATCAGCCTGAAGGCTTGAAACAACCACTGAAACCATGAATATGTGCTGGTATGTGGGAATCCCCCATCCTGCAGGCATTCAGCGCCTCGTATAAATAGGTCGCTTTAGACTCTGAACAGGTGCACTTTGCATACCACTGCTTTTTCTTATTTAGGTTACATCGTTTTCCTAAACATGCAAACTTTCAAAAGCTTTTTAAAGCACTAAGTCTTTAGCTTTCAAGATACATAGTTGAAAGCAGATCATTTGATTTGCTGCGTAAACCAATATACCGCAACTTGTTTTTTCTTTGTATGAAATTAAATTACACTTTTCATGTCTTATGTCCATTAGGATAATGAAAACGATTATTAGTTTTGACAAATTCAGAAGTTTACATATCACTCGCTTCCACTGAATTGAACGGCATGGGTTGGTGTAGTTCGGCATGCTATCTTATTTTCTGGCATTTCCAGCTCTACCCGGACTCTTTGCCCAGTACAACTGTAGAAGGTCGAGGAATGGTGCAGTTCAGGACGCTTTTACAATGGAAACAGACACAAGAACGTAGCGACCCACACCATCCCATGCCGCACTGCTCAGGGGAAACGAGGCATCACATCAAGACTTCTATGCCTTTGAAGAATTTGGAAAAGCCTAAATGATACAATGGCTTTACAGAATTAAGCTTCTGATTAATTCCCAGCCTCTGAGTCAAACAGAGGTGCAACATTGGACCTTAAACATACTGTCTCCATGTGTGACATAATGAAAAAATAAAAGAAAATCAGCCAAGAAATCTGGAAGGAAATTGTGAACCTCTACAAGTCATTCGGTATAGTTTCCAGAAGCCTAGAGGCGCCGCATTCATGTGATCAAACACTTATATGCAAGTACATAAGATCTTGCAAATATACTTTGTGACGATTCTGGTTGAGGGTAATAAAAAAATTCTTAAAATTCTAAAAATTTTATAAATTGAGATACAGAGCATAAACTTATTCTATCTGTAACTATTGGACTATTAAACAATGGACATTAATCTTAATAATTGTTAACAAGAATAAAACACTACTGAAAAGAAAAAGATCCTGTTACATTTATAGTTTTGTATTTTAAAATGGAATAAATGTAGTCTCCAGTATCTTGTAAACGGTTCTTTCATGACAGCAAGTGTCGGCGCTGGTTCTCCTCTTCGAGTGGAAACAGCTGCTCATTAAAGGTGATCAGTCATGTGAGGTACATGTTTGGCATGTCAAGATTTATTTACAAAAATGTGCTTAAATTGTCTGGTTTAACTCGTTGTTTACCTTACCAGAGAAAAAGCGGTTTAATTTTTTGAAAAACAGGGAAATTGTTCTCCGACTTCTACTCAATTTCAGTCAGCTTGTTTAAAGCAAAGCTGATTATTTTTTGTTTTCTTAAAAGAAAGAAAAATTATATGGTTTACAATTCATTTATCTGCAAAATGGGTAGAGAATGTGCAAAAACAAACATGGTAATTTGAAATGGCAGTAAAGAGAAGTGTGTCTGAAGGTGTACATTACTGCTTACTACTCTGGCAGCTGCAGTGTTGGGGAATATTAGGTGTGACCAAAAGTTGCCTCTTTTCTCAACTGGATGGATTTCGATAATTTTATGGATCAAATTGGTTCTAACCCAAACCCTTTCAATCTATATTCAATTTCCTTTTACAATCGATTTGTGAGCAGAAGTTCCCAGATGGTTCCATGTCACAAACCATCTGGCAGGTCAGGTTACCTTTGCTTAACAGATGGCATATAATGGCAAAGTCAAAGTCTACAATGAGCAATGTGATCCAAATTCATGCTGTGCATCTATTTTGTTTAACAATCATACTTACATCTCTGGTTGTTATATAAATGTGTCTTGAAACAACAGAAAACAACAAAATGTAGAAAACACTCAAACTGTGAGGAGTTTTTCAATCCCATTGAAATACCTACTCTCCTACTCTGCATGTGCAACATTTTGTGAGGTTTTGTAAATGCTTAGGTCTCCAAAAAGCTGTAATAATGACATCCACAATTATTAAAAACATAAATTTTTACTGTAGAGTTGTTAGTAAAGGAGTTTTGATTTCTCTTTGTGTTATAGAAACAATGATGATCACAAATGAAGGAGGAACGACAACCTGAAAGCTACCAGAAAATATATATTTAAATTACAGTTCTTAGCACATATAGTCAATCTCCACTGTGTTTACCTCAAAACACTTTAAAATTTCTCCAAAGGGTATTTGATTGATAGACTAGTGCTGGTGCACCCAGGCAGTAAACTCAATGTTTTATGAACTAAACAGAAAATCTGGAGACTTTGCTATCACTACTTTTTATCTCTTGCAGGTTGATGCCCAAATTTAGCATTCCAGTGAGAAAAATCATTACACTTCAGTTATTTTTAGTGGGGTTCTTGGGTGTCTTATCATTTATACAGCTTGTGCAATTAAAATCTAAGATCTCATTTACAAGAGGGGCCTGTCCTGTGCTCGCTTTTATTATTTCATTTAATTCAAGAAATGTTTTTTTGATTTTGATTCAAAACTGCATGTACTTATCGGGACATACAAGCACATACTCAAGTAGAAGGTGTAAAAATATCAATATACGTTATTTGCCACGGTTATCCACAACATTATTTATATGATTTACACTATTCAGCTTGTTTTACGTTTCACTGAAGACAGAAACAAGTTACTTGTCAGTTAGGAACGGTGCCGTAAATCATGAGAGACAACCTAGTTCGCCAAGCACACTTCTGACCTCAGACGGGGCTGTAAGTTGGTTTTATGATTCTAAATAATCCAATTACGTGCAGAAGTGGGATGGGCGTTTGCGTGACCTTGGGGAGAGGTTGACATCTCGCTCCTCAAACAGAAGGGGAGGAGATGACATGGAACAATAAGGTTACAGGTCCCTGGAGGGAGCCCTCATGGCTCGCTCTCTCTCTCTGTTTTGGATCAACTTCACAGCAACAGCAATATGTCAACTCATCACCCCCCATCCTGTCCACAATTAGCAGATATAGTCAAAGGGCTGTTTTATAATCATTTAAAATAGTCATGTCTTCACATTTCACCTCACTTCGCCTTTTCAACCCGTCGAAGATTCAGGTCTCATTTGTTTTCCTTTATTTATGTCCACATATTGACTTTTCTCCTCAGGAGCGCTCAATCACTGACAAACGATGAGGCTTCTCGTGGAGACATGAGCAGCTTAGAAAACACCCTGTCAAAACTGTTGTATTTCACAACAAAGCATTTAAAAGAGAAACATAAATGAAGGCTGCAGTAACGATGGTGCCGCTGAGCAGCACGTGGCTCTGATTCAGACTCCCTCTAGTTAGCAGCTATAATATTTGTGAGAAAAGCCTTTCGAGTGTGTGTGGGCGTCAGGAGAAAAGATAATTGAAGCAATATCTATGAGCCACATGTGTACACTGTAATCCTTTTCAGGAATTTATTAATTTCTATCAGTTGCTATGAATTCCAACATCAGAAATATTTGTAATATAAGCTTAGCTAAACCTCATGTATAAACACTGTATGGCAGTAAATATGTAATTACCAGGACTGAACATGCAAGCCAATAAAACAGAGCACATAGGTAATTAAAGTCGCAATTCCTTAAGGAGCTTATGGCATTAATATTCAAAAAATATCCTGTTCCAGGCTGCGCCTGTTTCGCATTTGACATGTGCTTGTTTTGGTATGTTGTGGTAGACGGCTTCCAAATGACGTCCCATGTGCTTCTGCAGCTGTTGCAACAATGACAAGTGCCTTAAAGTGACATCTGGGCAGAATCTCTGTGCACTCAAAAAAGTATCTTGTTTGTTCTGAGATTGCCGTGATTGCATGCTCGCTTTTGATGATCTGCTGCCGAGTCGGATTCCAGAAAAAGAGAGAGTCAGAGAAAGGACTGTGGCAGATTTCAGGGCCCGCGAGTTCTCCGCCTTTTCTCCTCTTTGGGCAAAGAAGGTAAAAGATAACAAGGCAGCCTGAGTGCATGAGCCCCTCTGAAGCCGGAGTTATTATGAAGCTATCAAAATGTGTGAGATGTTGCCGCTGTCAAAGGCTTAAACAGGCAGAGGGATATTTTTAGAGACCTTAAGCTAATAATCCAGAGCCCAGTCAGAGGGGTGGAGGGGGTCCATCATTTCTTGCCAAGCAAAATGGATGTGGATATGCACACTTCATGCAAGGGCCAGCTTACAAAGCATCACCACCCTTGACAACTGACATGAACATATTTGGCTTTCTTTGGAATCCATCTATCCAGGAACAGTGTCTGTGTAAGCTCTGAATTTACTCTTACTGTATTGTTCAGCCACTGTATGTCACTACATACTTTTATTAGGGATGCAATGAAATCTTGTGGTACAATATTGAAACATAATGTTTATATACAGGCAAGCAAGTGTAAGCTATTCCTAAGAGCCTTGCATATGAAGCTAAGTGGTTTACACTTGAAACCCTGTAACTATATTGGATGTCTGTGAATAGCTGAACTCCGCTGTAAAAATGATTATAACTGACTATTTTGACACAAATCAAAACCTACTTTAATAGTTACAACATCAAATATGCCATAATATGCATTAAACGTAACACAAACAGTCATAGAACTACTACATAAGCTAATCGGCACCCAGCAAAAAGAATGGTGCCTTTGGGATGTGGTGCCATGAAGAATTAAGGTGGTTCTGAAAACAAAAGAGGGTTGAACCATTTAC